ACTGGTCTCTGCTCCAGGCTGTTTGCACTGGTTTGTTTGCAAGTCCCTGAAAGCAGAGGATGAAAACATCCAGCTCTGATTTGACTTTGACTTCCTGTTTTGTAAAGTAGAAAACCAAACACTCAAGTGCCTGTGAGCTACAGCAGAAGTTACAGTCTTTTTATTTACAGAGATATGAGATATATACTTTTTTCTTTTTTTTTGGTGGACTTAGCAAATTCTTTAAGACTGTGTCATTTGTCTCTGCTTGTTTGTTCAGAGAGTCTGGGACTCTTTTTTGTATCAGCTCCTTGGATGTCTTTAAGCTGAGTTCTGCAGTACCAATCATGGCTCTGCTCACAGGTACAGGCTTCAGGGGCTCTTCCCACTGCCCTTTCAATTTCTCCAAGTCTCTGTAAAAGGAAGCAAGGCTGCTGGATGACACTGGGATGAAATGTGAAAATGTGGTAGTTCAGTCAGGATGCTGTCTTAGCACTGCTCACAGTTCTCAGGGATCCTTCATGTTGGCTCATATTATCATGAAAATACCTGCAAATGTGTGCAGCTCTGTGCTTAAGAGCATAGCGAGCAGTCTGGTTGCTGTGGTGCTTACATATATTACAGGCAGATGTGTGCTCAATGCCTTTTTGCTCTTTGTTGCTTTATGCTTTTCCTCAGTCTTCTCTATTGTTGAAGCAAACTCATTTCTTACCTCCCAAGTCTGTGAAAAGTAAAACTCTCGGTTGGAACAAAGGTCCATATAGTCCAGTGTCCTGGCATGCCAGTGACCAGTACACATCAGTTTCTTAGAAGAGAGGGAGAAGAAAGCTTTGTAATGATCACATGAAATACATTGTGATTCATCCCTAGATTACGCTTGGGCCCTCTGGTCGGGTACTCTCTTCCCCAGCAGTGCCAGTGTTGTAGTTAAACAGCACTTGACAGATTTTTTTGTCTCTCATGAGTTTTTGGAACTCATATAATCTTCCTACAGCATTACCTCTATGACATGGTACAGGAGAGAAGGCCTAGAGAAGCAGCTTGGGCACAGGCTTGGTTTACAAATGAGGTGGTTACAGCAGTGAAAATACTGAGTCCTGTCTACAATCCATGTATGGAGCTATCAGTAATCACCCAAACATTGACTCTAGGCAATGGCTCCAGCACAGTGGTGGTCTTGTCAGTTTAAATGGTTTTCTTGCACAAATACTGCCTTTGCTGCTTTTGGCCTATGCTTTTTTTAACCATCACACCTACCTGTTGCTCACCCAGCAAAGACAGTATCTCCCCCTTCCCCTTAGCCACAGGCACTTCCTTCAGATCCCTCAGTTCCTACCTTGACCACACATACTCCTCTATCTCATTGTCTCATTTCTAAGTCAAACCCTTAACTTCCCACTACGCCTCCAGTAAATGATTCTCCTTTTGACCTCCCCATTGTTATCCTGCTTTCTCTCATCACAAATGACATCATCCAAGGGCATCTTCTCATCCAGGCACTTCTCCAGCCAGCTCTTCTCCCACCCAGTTTGTTGATGCAGTTCATGATGGTTATTCCCTGAGTTTGTACAGTTGCTGTCTCCACACTGCACCCTTTCCATCTAAATTATATGTCTGCTTTGTTATCCTGCAACACCCATTCTTGTTCCTGGGACTGTTCAATTTTATAAGTCCTGTCCACAAATCCACTCTCTTCATTTCCACCAGACTTAATCACCCTTATCTACCACTGCTGCTGTTTCTGTGCTGACTTTCACTACCCCTCATAGGACTGTCCCTCTGTGCGCAGAGCTGCAGCAGCACCCAGGCAGAACATCGGTCTTTCCTGGACACCTCAGGGGTTTCCACATTTAATGTGCTGTAGGCAGCATAATGTTCTGACTATACTCGAGTTACCAGATAAACAGAAAGATAGATAGATAGATAGACAGACAGATAGATAGATAGATAGATAGATAGACCATTCAGTCAATGATTGATCAATTGATCTTCTATGATACTTTTTTCAAATAAAGTTCAATAAATCCACCTGTTTCCTTCTCTGAGAGACAAAGGAGAAAGAAAAAAGCTAAAGAATTCCCATAGTGATTTTTGTTGTTCTTGTTGCTTTCCTTAGGTTTTTCTGGGTGGTGTTTTACACTCTCTTTGCTAAGCCTTGCTGTCTGCCTGAGGAGGGGACTGCAGCCAGGCACACTGCAATACCAGAGCAGGACACAGAGTCAGATCTAAGCACCACCACTTACAGGAGGAGAGGAAGGCAGGAACATTCAGTCATCACTGCTGTGGATGTGGCCCATGTGGTGTCTGTGGTTTGGGGTACATCATCACATGGAGTCAGGTCTCCACGTGGCAGCAAGCCATACTCCCTCCAAATCCAACCATTTTCTGGAAATCATATCGTCCTCCAGGCAGGGAACCTAGGACCCTAAGAGGAAAGGGCCCATGTGGAACAGGGTAAAATCATGTGGGACAAGGATACCATGCTGGGTGGACAGGACTGTCAGTGAGGGACTCGGATGCACACAGGGAAGAGGCCAGGCTCTGGGAGTGGGTGAGCAGCCCAGGGCTCTGCTGGGCACTGTCTGCAGGAGGGGATGCTGGGCTTAAAATCACATCTGACTCCAGAGAAGGCAAAGAATCAAGCTGAACAGCAAACAAGGAAAGTATTTAACTGTGATGGGAGAAAATAATTATTACGATGTGATGAACATGATACACAGGGGCCTTCGAGACATTGAGGACTGGTTATGTGGCAGCCGAACTTTAATTTCCTGGAGCTAATTGCAATGACATAATTCACAAGCAGCTGCTTCTCACTGTAGTTCTGTGTGGCTCCAGGAATGACTGCAGAGTTACCTAAACACAAGATGACATTTTAGGACAGCAAAGAGTTTGTGAGATTTTGAAGGGCAGATTGAAAAGCAATAGTTAAAAATCTAGAACTGTGGTTGCTACGGAAGCTAAAAAAAATTATGTCAGTAAAATATACTTGATTTAAGAAAAAAAAAAGATACTAATATCAGGAAAAATTTTACAGATCACAGGATTTCCTATACTGAGAGCTGAGACTCATGGGAAAAAGTGAGAAAATTCCAGAAGCAAATGAAAAGAAGAAGCTGTGTCCTGAAAGGAAGGACCAGTATTATCGATTCTGAGGCATAATTGACAGAGGTCTCCAGACTGGAATGTTTGTGCTTTACTTTTGAACCTTTGAGGCACAGACTCTGTCATGTAGAAGCAATATATTTAACAAAGAATGTAAGTACACCTGAATAATTAGCATATAGTTGACACCTTTGGCTGTAGAAGGAGCCATTGTGTAGTAATACATAAAGTATATAGCTTGTCTCATAGCAGATTACTTGAGACTGAATAAATCTTATTTGTGCATATTGGATCATTATCACACTACATCTAATGGGAAAGCTCTGCTGAACCTCATAAGCTATTATGGACTTGAAATTCAAATTTATTTATTTTTTTTGTCATAGAATCAGCCAGGTTGGAAAGGACCTCTCAGATCATCAAGTCCAACCCTTGATCCACGACCACTGCAGTTACTAGACATGGCACTAAGTCATAGTCATGCAAGTTTTGATGGAAAGCGAAATCCTTGGCAAAGACAACTCCAAAGCTGTGGGAATCAGGTTTTGGCATGGGTTGTCTCTGATGACCTAAGCATTAAAATGTCACCTTGTCTTAATTAATGGACTGACTCTGCAGAACCCAAAGTTGACAGGACTGTGGGAGGATGGGCTCTGTCACCAAGAGGCAAGAACACAGATTCTCACCAGGATTTCTCACAGGACAGTGAAAATCTGAGGAGCAATAAACTGATAAAGAGAAAAGGCCTTTTACTGGGTGTACACAAGCATAAACCCCTTGGGGAATGTTAAAGTTTCTGTTGTCTTATAATTACTCTGTGCAAATTGGATAAGTAATTTACATAAAATGTTACTTGTACGCAAATACCAGTTTAGGTCAGTTTGTCTCCTCCACCTCTTTTTTGGTCCAAGCAAGATCATATTTCTTGTTCTTTCTTCCAACTGTTTTTGTCTGTCCAGTTTGTGTGCTTGTAGGATTCCTGGAGAGTCATCTGGCTCCTGTCACAGCCCAGGGACCTAGAGCAGCTGGTTTTATCAGCTCCTTGGGCTGCACTGTCCCTCCTGGGGCTCCACAAAAATGGAAGAAAGATCCCAGGAGGCTGCCTGGCTACAGACCTTCAGCTCCCCAGGAGGACAGGTCAGCATTCCTACAGACTTTTCACAGATGTTCCATTGACTATACTAAACATATTTGAATTGTGGAGTTCGCTGCTGTCTTCTAGAAATAGTTTATTTAAAACTGAGGAGCTTGTAATAATTCTCTAAAAAGACTCATGTGTGTGGCCATCCAGATTTAACAACTTCTATACTTTAATGATATAATAAATAATACCATAATCTTATGATGAAACTTGCTGATTTATCTACTTAAAAACATGCTTTCTAAAGGAATCCATGTGATGATTATTTTTTATCAGACCTCAGGCCTCCAGGGCCTGCTTATATAATAACAGTTGATTTTAATAAACTGAAAGATGCAAAAAGACCAAACACATAATAGAGAGGAAAAATCCAGCTATAGGGACTGCTTTTGAGAGTAGAGAAAAGTGGTTTCTTGACCATCTGAAACACTTTACAATGCAATTAAAAAGTAAACTATTTCACTGAGGTAAAGTAAATCTTACAGTGTTCATACATTTCTAAAACCCAGGTAAAACACATTCTAAACCAGTTCAAGCTCTTTAATATCTTAAACAACAGCTCTAGAGGAAATCAGTCTATTTTAAGTTGGAAAAGACACAACAAATGTGTGGTGTCTGGTGTTTCCAGTGGGTGTTGAAGAAATCCACTGCAGTAAAATGCTATATAAACAGAATGCACATTTAAATAAAAAGCATTTTTAAACTGCAGATATATTTTAAAATTAATCAAATATTTACATTTTATTAATATATTACTGAAATATGCAACTTTGTATTTATTAAATAGATTGTTAAAGACAGATAAAACAGTAAAAGAAATACTTTTTGAAGTGCCAGAAATGTGATAGCTCAAATCTGTTCTTGACCTAGTGCTAGTCAATTAATTGATCTGTTCTTTGCAACACAACAGTATATTGTAAAGTTTACATGGCTAAATCTTTGTAGTCTGATAAATAATTTTAAAAGCATTGGTAAGTTATATAAGCTGCATACAATCATACTGCTCAAACAACACACTGAAGATAGAAGCCACCTGTCCTAAACACGTGTCCTTTGGGGTTGCAAAGCTGGCAGCAGGGAGCAGAGAACAAAGCCACCCCGTGGAGAGGTGCAGGAGCAGGGAAAGCCATAAGGACAGGCACAGCATGGGCACCTGGTGGGGACCAGCTGTGTGAATAGAACCCGCAAGCAGCCCTTGAAACCAGTTATTTGACATATGGTGTTCTCACTGAAACACGGGCTGGTTGAGGTGCGGAGGACCCTCTAGAGGTCACGTGGTCAAACCTGGAGCCAGTTGCCCAAGTTATGGTTTTTTTACGTTTGCAGACATCTGTGTTAAAATAGAATGCTTGCCAGTGAAGTACAGGGAAAATGAATAACTGTGCTGTGTAACTGGCTGCAGGCTAGAGAATGAACACGTGTGAGCTAGGGCAGGTATTTATATTGTAGATAAATAGTACCTGCTAACCTTTCTGCTGCCTTTTTCTTTTTTTTCCTTTCAGTATGCCAGTTGGCTTATGTTCACCCCTTTGGAAACTGGAACTTAACAAACTTGATTGAATTTCATAGGTCTCTGGATCAGTTGTATGTGAGAATTAAAATGCAAGCAGAAGTTTCATTCTACCCAAGCTTGGTTTTGTGGATTTAATGTATATAGGTATATATATATATATCCTGTTATTTTGCTTAAACAAAATATGTCTGGTTTGGTCTGAAATTGGGGTGTTTTTTTGAGATGAGGGATGATTTCAATCTGTGAAGAAAGTCTTCCACACAGATATCTTTATTTATGACACACTCATATGAAAAAGAAAAATTAACAACTTCTTTATTATGTGAGTCAAACAGCAGTCAGGTATGGATGAAGCTGCTGGGACACAATGTGCATTCAGAGTCTACTTGTTTCCAGAGTACATTCTGCTTTCCTCTGCACATCACTCTCAGCATCAGTTTCCTTCCAGACTGGTCAGCTCAAAGCATATTTTCATTCAGACCTCTTCTACCCAGTCACACAGGTAGCAACATCCAGATATGATTTTTCTCACATTAAGAAAACTGGAACATCTGGGATATTAACTCCTTCCTCCTTGCATTGCATATCCCAGAACTCTGAACAGTCTGGAGGTGAGAGAAGGTCTTTCACAACACTGGTTGTTGGAGGTGCTGTCCCAGTGGACAGCTTTCTAAATCTCACTTTCCTCAAAGACTTCCTCAGTTGTTTCTCCAGTGGTGAACTCTCCCTCGCTGCTGTCTGACATGCTTATCCGTGGGTGGGATGGGAGAACAGAGCCTGGCTCCGGGCTGAAGTCTGTTCTCTGCCTAACCAGCACCTGCTGCAGCTGCATGCCCCAGGGTGTGCTCACCTCCAGGCATGAGCGGTGTTTGCTGCTGAGGTGCTGGTTTTTTCGTTTCTGTGAACATTTTCGGAGGTATTTTATGTTTTCCCCAAGAAAGCAGAGTTTGCAGCCAAAGGGATCTGCCAGCAGGAAACGGGACCACTGCTTCTGGAGCTCTGCTTTCACCTGGGGGGAGGAGAAAACAGTCTGATCATAGTGATGGCTTGTGACCACCCCCTAGTTCATGAACTCAAATACTAGATGTAAAATGAGAGGAACTGTGAAGTGCTGAGCTTCTTGTCTCTTCAGGCAGGTTCACCTTGCACCTGGTGGGGTTCTCGTAAGGTAGGAATAGACTTGTTGGCTAAGCCAACCTGAACAGTCCAACCTCTTCACTTAAAGTTTTTCCTCTGCAAATCTGATGCACGTGTGTGGGAGAGCTCAAGTGTTTACAGCCTGATGGAATGAAGAGGAGAGAAGCCCAGGTGCTGTGGAAATGAAGACCATGCAGTTTTGCCGGAGTGTTATGCTTGTGTAGCTGATTTGTTTTGTTAAAGCTGTTTATCTGGCAGCCTGACTGAGATCCTCAGCACTGGTTGTCCCACTGCCTGCACCCCCTGAGCCCGTGCTGCAGGCTCCAACCCCATGTGGAGGACTGAGACTTCCCCTGGCTCTAACTAGCGGGACTTTGGCCTGAGAACTCAGCTGGACTAATGGTAGAAGGCCAAAAGAGCAACTTTCAACTGCTGATGAGAGCTGATAGCGGTTCTGTGCCCTTCACAAGACTACTCTATTGCAGACAAGTGCCAGATCTCTTCTTCATTTAAGTAGTTTCAAAATCACTGCGTATTTCCTTGATAGATATTAGGAACATCTGGTCTACCTTCTGTATAAAGCCCATCCATTTGTTTCACTGGTGTCTTTAGGAAGGTGTCCAAATTCCTGTAGCCCTGTTTGTGTAGTGTGTCTCATGCCAGTGTTCTGATGCTGGATATGTGTCTGTTTATTCCAAGTAGTGGCGGTCTGTACCCAGGCCAAATACAAGGGAAGTACAGACAGCAAGATTCAACTTAGAAAACATTTAATATTAAATGAGATTAATTCCACAGCCTACGCAACATCATTTTCCAAGGTAGCTTGTGGCAAGTTAGGCTGAGAAAGCTGGGGTGTTCAGCCTGGAGAAGAGAAGGCTCTGGGTAGACATCAGAGCCCCTTCCAGTGCCTAAACAGGACATAGAAAAAGAGGGAGAACCACTTTTCACATGTGCAGATAATGATAGGACAAGGGAGGAACAGTTTGAAACTACAAGAGGAGACATTTAGATTAGATGTGGGTGGAATGAGATGAGCTTTGAAGTCCATTCCAACCCAAACCAGTCTGTGATTCTATAATTCCATGCAGTCAGAGTGAAAAGGCAGAGGCAGTGTGGAGCTGTCACTGGACTGTCTGGACAGGAGCAGAGCCAGTAGTTCAAGAGAAGCAGTTGTTCTCCCTTAGATCACCTTTGAATACTGTGACTAATTTTGGACCCCCAGTACAGGAACTGTGTTGATAACCTTTAACTTATTAGCAGAGATCAGCACTGGGGCACTTGCCCTATGAGGAGATATATTTACACTTCAAAGCCCGGATACTGTCTATAAGGAGATCATGGAGGAGATGGAGTCAGGCACTCTGCAGAGGTGTTTGATAAGGAGAGACAGTGATCGTAAATTGAAATATATAGAAGGGTTTGGAGCAGCAGGAGGGGCTGAGGGAGCTGGGGGGGTTCAGCCTGGAGAAAAGGAGGCTCAGGGGGAACCTTCTGGCTCTGCAACTCCCTGACAGGAGGAGGGAGCTGGGGGGGGTGGTCGGGCTCTGCTCCCGGGGAACAAGGGAAAGGAGGACAGAGTTGTGCAACTGGCCTCGAGTTGCACCAGGAGAGGTTTATATTAGACATTAGCAAAATATTCTATATCAAACAGGCTGCCCAAGGGAGTGATTGAGTCACCATTGCTGGAGAGATTTATGTAGATGTGACACTTGGGAACATGGTCTAGTGGCAGACTTGCAGTGCTTGGGTCAAGAGGTGAACTCAATCTTTTTTAGGTGTTTTCCAATTTAAAACAATTCCATGATTCTATGACAATATATGGAAAAGATATTCCCTCCTGAGTAGAGAGAAGCACTGGAACAGAGGACCAGAGAGGTGGCGGAACCTCTGTCCTTGGGCTGGGGGGGTTTGAAGTTTAGCTGGACAAACCCCTGAATGTCATTAGTACCCTTTAATAACAAACTAAAAACTTTTCTCATAAACAGTGTCTTACCTCTCCATTAGCAAAGCAATACAGAACTGCTACCAAAAAACCCTGTAAGAGAAACAAAGTGAGAGGGAAAAGTCAGTGTGCAGGAAATACCTGAAGCCTTAGTTTAAGGATGACATTATTGTTAAAGCCATAAATATAAAAAATACTGCTTAACTTTCAAAAAGGAAACTAGTTGTCTGCATTTACTTATTATTGAAGTGCCCGGTCACTTGTTTTTGTGCAGTGGCTTGGCAAATGCAGGTCACATTTTGTGCAGATAACTGAGAAGAAGAGACTATACAACCCAGTCTTAATTTTGCTAGCACATCATAATACTTTTTTTCCCAAACCACTGCTGTTATAACTGCTGCTATTTCTAAGCATGGTAAGACAAAAAAATGCAGCTTTGTCTTATTGATTTGTCTTATTATCTATGTTTGTTGCGGTTTGCATATGAGACTACTGAGACAGATCTCATTTGGGTGCTTTTTACAAATTAGTTCTATATTAAGTGATTAGTGTTAGTTGAAAATACAGCTGTATTGAGTGTTACAGCTATTTTGAATTGCTATTGTTCCTTCAAACTTGATATAAATAAACACCTTAAAAAATCCTAGAGATAGAACTTGTTTTAAACTAACGCCAAAATTATTCTTTCCATTTGCCGCCCTTTGTCTGTGTTTGATCTCAGAACAAAGCAGCTTACAGGCTGCATCTCAACACCACAGGCTGGTACAGACATGCAGATTTATTCCCAGTTCTTCTGGAAATGCCATTCTTTTAGTGTGTCTCAAGGTATCTGTGACACAAGTTCTGATTGAGAGAAAAATCATCTCAGTCTCAAGGCAATGTTTATATAACAACTACAAAGGTGCTGTAACCATACACAATGCAGCTGACAGCACTCAATTGGTTTCACACTCATACTTTTCCAGAAAGCTTAAAAAGAAATTCACATACCCAGAATCTTCAGTATTTTTCATTATACCTAGCATTAACCAATATCATTTTGAGGGTAATGTTAATAGTCTAGCAATTCTGAAAGGTTTGGAGTCATTAATTCCTTAAGCATATATGCAGTAAGTATGAAAACAAGCAGTTTATCTGCCACACCAGTGGAAATAGGGACAAGAGAAATAGCAGTCACAATTGCTTTTTCCATGTATTTTATTTATATAATTTTTCATGCTTCACCTGGGTTACTGTAGCAAGATATAGTTAATTTTGGCATGTCATTTATGAATGTAACTTTTAAATAATCTTTTGCATCTGAATTATTTCATGGAAATATAAAAAAAAATCACAAAATACTGTGGTCATTAGAGTTATTAATAGGTTATATTAAATACAAATTGTAATTCATTATAATAATTATATCTTATTATAATTACAATATATTATCATATATGATCTTAAATACAGATTTAATCGCTTAAAAAGCAACTTTTTTTATACAGAACTGCTCCTGTACCTGGAGATAGTTCTCTTTTTTTTTAGGTAGAAACTTTATGAAGATGTCTCTACTGGGTGGGTGGTTTGGGTTTTCTTATTTTATTTATGAGCTCTAAATTTAGCCTCACAGGCACCGCAAGCATTTTAACTACATGATGCTGTTGAGTCCTGTGACTGCTAAGCCTGGTGATAGCCCCTGCCAGAAATGCAGAGACTCACCAGATTAGGAGCCTGTGTGAACACGAGTGACATCTCTGTGCTGATTTCAGTTTGTAAATCCCTCTGTGAATCTAGTTCACTGCTGCTGCAGGACCAGAGCATGCAGTGACAAGCAGAAGCACTGTGAAATCATACCAGAAGGTGGAAAATTCTCCTGATTATTCATGTTTGATGTTCATTTTATATCCTGATTTCTTTAATTCTTACTCATTTTTTTCCCAATAAATTGAATTTCACACTTAGAAATCTTTCCAATATGCTGTGACTTTTCAAGCACACAATTTCAGAATTATGCAAGTGTGAGTGAAAAAGAAGAATCAGATATTCAGAAGAAATGTTCATTAGCATAAACACCAATAGAAAAGGATAGACGCACACAGAAGCCTCACAACTGTTTTTCAGTTCCATTGACAATGACAACATGATAAATTACTTTTTAAATAACGTGGTCTCTCCACTAGAAACTAGTAGTTTTTCCTGTGGCTAGCAGTTTGCATGCACCAGGGAGCCAAGATATTTTGATTACTCCACTTTCTAAAGCAAAGTAGCATCATACCTACAGCAGAACTCCTATTTAGAATTTAATTTTGTGCTCCTTGAAAATGTTTGAGTTAAACCTCTGGATAAGATCCCAAGGGTAATGTTTTCTTTAACAAAACAGTTTAACTGTCTTTTAAACTATTGAGAAGATTTACAGACTAAACAAATGCAACTGTGTACAGTTGATGTGCTTTTTGGCTAATCCCTCCACAAATAATGCCATAGCTAAAAGAGAGAATCTGAAATAAACATTAGCTAAGATCTTTGGGTATTTTGTAAAGACGTTTTGCTTCTAAAGCATGACATGCAGCCAAGCACATGAATGTTTCTCTAAAAGGAATGAAGTTTGTGTTCTCTAGCAAGGATGAATAAGCTGGTTTATATATCAGATTTCTCTGTACAATCCAGTAAATGAAATTTCCACTAAAAATTATTCTGTGTTTTTAAAATAACATCTAGTCACTGCAACGTCCCCAAGTAAGGATATGTCTAACTGAGGAATGCATTCTCTAAAACTAAGGTCCCTTCCAACCCAAACCATTCTGTGATTCAGTGAACGCCATGTCAGAGGGCTCCTCAGGGTTGTGGCTCTGCAGGAACTCTCTGATGCTGACTGGGACATTTTTCCCCTGAAGCTGTAGTGGAAATTTTTAATTGGAGCCTCAAAAACAGCGTCAAAACACTGATGCATACGTACACCTTAGTGTGGGTGCCATACATAGAGGTTAAAACCAAGGATCGTCATAAATCATGGAAAAACGCAGCAATGCTGTGATGACTTCATGCCTCTGCATGTGTCAGAGCAGTGAGTTAGTGAGGAGCAAGGACTTGTAGCCAGAGAGAATGCTGGGTTCCTCAGTAAAGAGAGGAGACCTGGAAATTACTGTCCTGTTGCCCTAAGAAGGTCAAGGCAGGAAGATAAAGGGAAAGGACAACTTTTCTAAGCAGGTTCATTAGTACTACCTGGAAAAGTCATAACTCAGCAGCTCTGCAGAACTCAGACTGAAGCACACAGCAGTGCTTTGTGCCAGTGTCAAGTTCTTTGGCTTTGCAAACTGGAGAGCAAATAGTTATAGGGAAGCCCACCAATACCTGTGCATAGTGGCCATCTGAGAGTTCCAGTGACAGCTCACTCTATGATTAGGACTTAGGATTGGCTATTTAACAGGAGTGTGAGTCCTTCACCCCCTCAGCCTTGCCACAGGGTTGCTACAATCAAACTCTCTTCCTCTCCTACCTCAAGTTTCTGCCTACTTTCACAAGACTAAGGCGGGGTGATTGAAGAGGGGTCAAGTGTGTCAACATCTGTAAAACACTGCTGACTGCATAGGTAAGGAACTTCTGTTCCACCTGCAGACACTGGTCCATCTATCTGTTCCATCCATGTAAGGGCTCTGACAATTTTTCTCCTAGCTCTAAAAGTGTATGAGTACAGTACTTTTGTGAGTGTACGTCTAAGAGCCCATAGTGTCACTTTGCAGATGTGATGTGCAGTTGATGATGCAGATGTGCAGGTGAATGAACAGATCCTTTAGGGAAATGGAGCCCAAACCTTGGATGAGAACAGACATTCTCATAGTTATGATTTTGGCAGGGATTATTTTAAATAGACCACTTGAATCCTGTTTTCAGGGGTCTGTGATGAACTGTCACCTATTATCAAAGAACACAGGACACACTGTTTCTGGAGATGTCCGAACTGCTTTTTTGGTGTTTGGGACTACAATATTTTGAATATGCAGTTTGTGAATGTTTTATCTTGTCACTGCAATAGTTTATTTAGAGACACTTTAGGTTGGAGAATAATATTAAATAAGAATTCTCTATATCTGTGGTATGTATAGGTGAGCAGCATATGCTCACGGATCTATGACCCCTAAAAAGAGTACTTGCAAAACAGTACTTACATGAAATGAGCTCATTGTCAGCTGAATGAAAAGTCTTATATGCCTTGGAAGTCCTTCCACCTGTTCATCAGTGATGAAGGTAAATACAAATTCATGGATCCCCAGCAATGGAATCAACACAAGCGTAGATCTTGCCAATCTTAGAAAGAAAATGTTTGATTATTGTATTTTTAAGTATCCTTGGTACAAGTATAAAAAAAATTAATCTGTAAAGAAATTATTCCAGAAAAATTCCCTCAGTATTCTGACTCTGGAATGGTATTAGCAGTTTTGTGATTTTGGGAATAAATCCTCAAATATGAGTTTTGAAACACCCTATCAGAAAGGTATGTACAGGAAGGAATCTTGGCTTTGAGTTTAAAGTGAAAAGTTAGGGACAAGAAATAGAACAGGAAGGCCACTATCATCAAACTTATGCTGTTAGGTAACAGAAAAATATTTACATAGCTAAATATGAGTGGTTTAGTAACAGGTCTTTAGACCTTCCTATCACTGCTGAAAGCTCATTGAGAACGTCCTGCAGTACTGTCAGCAGGCATCTATTTCCCAAAAAATGCAACTAGAAGAATTTGCTGGAAGAGAATCTTCTTTAACGAGTCTGGGGACATATTTATATGGATGAAAGAAGAGCTCTCAAAAGAAAGTGAGTTCTGAGGATGATTTGCATTATGAAGAATAGCTTGAATCTTTAAAAGTTTAGCAAAATTATAAGGAGTAGAAAGTGGAATATAATACAAAACATTAGGCAATGCTAAATACAGGCATTTCTGTCTGTACATCACAACCACCTTCCTGTATCAATCTGCAGAATATAGCTGAGATCCTCTGGACATTGACTGCTGAAGGAAAATGGAAATATTCTTTTGTTAGGGATGTAATACTGGGTTAAAGAGGAAGTTAATAGCAAAATTTCCATCCTCCCCTCCTCTGGCCTGGTCCTTTTTGACAATAAAGTAATTCATGTTCGTAAGGCAGGACTGTTGTAGCAACCAGGGGTTCACAAATGTCGTGGTTTTGCTCTGGGTCAATTTGCTCTCACCCCCCACACAATTACTATTAATTGAGAGAAGGTTTATGCAGACAAAAGAAACTTGATTGGGGAGAAAATAATATTAACATTTATTACTAGAAAGATAAAAACTACTAAAGAACTATATCTACAACATCTAATTAAGTAAAAAGTACTATGTAATTACAGAAGTACTTCTCCCCCCTTTTATCAGTCCAAGGAGGAAAAGGAGTCCCTTTTTCCATTCTTGGAGCTCCAGGTCTTTTCAATAACTCTGCAGTACTTTAAAGCTCTTCTCCTGTTATCTCAGGACGACAACTCCTTTTCATCACAGCTGGAACTCTATCTCTCTTTCTTCTGTGTCAGCCTCAGGCTACCCCCCTCCTGGGCTAAGACCAGAGGCTGGGGATTCCCCAGGCCCTGAAGGTTTCTCTCCCATGGGCTTGCAAGGGGACACTTGCCTACCATGGATCTTCACCACAGTCACAGGGGATAATGGCTTTTGAGTCCACCCCTGTTCCCTGTGAGGTCCATCCCCACGGGAGAACAGTCCTTGATAGACCTCTCCGGCATGGGTCTAGCATGGATCCCTCACACGGATCTCAACATCCCTACCGGAGCCATTCTTGCTCCAGCGTAGGTTCTCTCAGGGTCACAAATCTCCAGCACCAGCAGCATGGATCTCTCACTGAGATCCCAAGCTTACCCGAGCTGTTCTCACTCCGGTGTAAGCCTCAGGGTCATAAATCTTCAACAGGACTCTGCCTCATCCCAGTCCTTCTCATGTAGTCTTGGCTTCCTTATACATCCACAAGCTCCTTTGTGAGCCGCATGGGGGTCTCCTCACCCCAACAATCTTTCACAGGTAGTAGGGTTTTGTTTTTCAGTCTTTTCCCTTCCGAAGGGAGAGAGTAAAAGAGGGGAGAAACAGCCCCCCTCTTAGAAGTTCTCTTTTCTCTCCTCCAGCTGCCAGCTTCGACCTTGGACACTTTGTTATCTCTCTGCCGGAATTCTTCTGCAGCATTTTTTTGTCCAAGCAGTCAGTCCTTTAAAGTTTTTTTTCCTTTACCCTCTTACAAGAGAGAAGGGGGGTTTCAGTGCCACATCTGCCCCTGGCCCAGGGCTGGGGGAGGAGGGGGCCTGGCCCCCACCTGGGGCTTGCTGCCGCTCCTACATGGCTGCCTAATTTCAACTGCTCCACCAACCTTCTCTTCCGTTTTCCTAAATACGTAATTAGCAAAGGCATTACTGAGAGTCTTGATTGGCTTTTTGTCCGGAAATCCACCTGGACAAAACCATCCTCAGCCCCAGGGGCTGGCTGGTGGGCAAAACCACGACAACAATGATATTAAAAGACACTAAGAACAGGAAAGGACTTGGACATGAAAAGAAGTTAAATCCTCATGTTTCTGTTGTTTCCAGCTTTTCACTGCAGCCTTAGCTCCTTGCAGAGCAGCCTGCCCTTGTAGTTCCCACAAAGTGACATGTTTGTGACATTGTCAACTCCAAGACTTTATTGTGATTGTACCATTGAGTCTCCTCCAAAAGAGCCCACACTAAGGCCTACAAGAGACCAGGCTAAGGAATAAGGTAGATCAGAAACACTAAGAGACACTTCAGTGTCTCACAAATCTTCTACACCCCCTTTTCTTTTGAGGACCTTTTGCCACATTCAAGGGAAAAATGCATCACAGCAGCAGAGGCCACAGGTGTGAGTGACGATACCTGAGAGCAGAGATCTCCTCGCATTGCAAAGCCTTGGTGAAAATGCCCACCCAATTCAGCACTCTGCCTTTACCTCTCAGATAGGAAACTGCCTGTGGAGCCTGTTTTCCCAGGTGGCTCTCCTATATCATACTTTGTGTTACACCTGGTGGTGGTAGGTAAATCTTTAAGGGCAAACAGGCAACCTTCTGATGTTGTGAGAAAATAAAAAGAAAGGGCTTAGATTTCCGTGTAATTTATTACATACCTGTATTTGTAGTCATGAAAGCTCATTTGCTGAGCTTTTAGTTTGGAAATCAGCATCCTGAGAATTTTTAAGAAGATGCCAAAGTTAACCTTGAAGGAAAATACATGTGGGTTACTTAAAACTAAAACAGATGTTATGACACTAATCATATAATTATTACATAAATGTAAAATTGATATTAAATACTTGCAAAACTTATCACCAAATAACTGGAATACAGTTGTGATGAGTCTGGAATACAAGCAGGTTATTGGCACATCTGCAGCACAGAGCAGGGAGTAGCAGTGACAGACTCTGCTGGTATCAGCTCTCTCCAAACAAAGCAGTTAACAGTTTATTTACCTTTAGGTCATGCAACTCTTCACTAAACCATGACAGGTAAGCAGAACGTGGTAAAAATCCACAATGCAATTCTTAAGATAAAGAGGCTCTAGGCAGCCCAAAAAGCCCTGGGTATCCTTTTTACAACTGATTCCCTTCTCTGTTAATTAAATTTGGCTGACTTGAGCCAGAAAAATTTGCAAATAATTCTTTCTAATGAGACCTGCAAATGCCTATGAGTCATGAACTATTTGTCTTTCCAATATGAGTCATGACCTATTTATCAAACCAGAAGCCCTATGCAAAAAGTTGCAACATTGAGGAATTTTGCATTGCCTTATTCAGCCTGACTGGCGTATAATTTATGATATGTGATCTTCCAGTAAAAAATTATATTTTAATTTTTTAACACAGAACTCTGCTTCCTCATAATTTGAACAAAAGTTTATCCCTTCTGTCACTTTATATCCCCCTTGATATTTCTGTAGTAGGAAGCTGTATCTTATTTGTTCCAAAATACTGAAGGACAAAACAGGCACTTAATAAAAAGACCAAGGAGGAGAAAAAATACAGGTTATATAATTCTTACTGTAATGGAAAACAACATTGGTCCTCGGATGATCCACCAGATTCCCATGTGTTCATTTGTTCCCCAGCATCTGGAGAATAATTTGAAGTATAATTACTCTATTTTCATGGAAAAAAAAAATAGAAAGTTTACATAACCTGTATATATTTCAAAAGGAAGTTGTCACAGTACAAATTTTTCAGGTGTCCCTCAGAAAAAACAGAGTAAAACTAGGAAGAGTCTCAGCAACAACTCTAATTGTATTTATTCGGAAGATCTTTCCACATGAATGTTGAGAGATGTTTCCCTTCAGAACTATCTGGCAAACTCAGTCTTTGAATCCACAAAATAACTGTATATGACATAGAACTTTCATGACAAAATTCATCCTACTTAAATTATCTATCGGAAACTATAAATGAGTAAACTAAGAACTGTGTACTAAACAGGAATTGCTTCCTGTCCTGCTAAAAAATATGCATACTGTTTCCTTGAATTTGTGTCCTTTTATCCTGCTCTAGACTTCTGTTTTGTCCTCTGCACATGTTTCCTCTTGCTAATTAGCCTGAGGTTCTCTACTATCTTGGCTTGACTCTTATGATTTATATAACATCTAACTCTATGAGATTGTAATTATTGTTTGGTTGCTGCTTATTATCTATATTGGGGAGCCCCTGGTGGTCTAGTGGTTAAGGGCACGGCGCTGTCACTGCCGAGGCCCGGGTTCGATTCCCGGTCAGGGACACTCCCGGGCAGGTGGAGCTCGTTAGCCCTTAAAGGCAACCCACCTACGTCCTAAGGACCTCGCTGCCACCGTCCAAGCTCGCTTGGCCCCGGCAGATGAACCTTAGGATTAAAGGGTGGGCTCAGTTCCGCGCACACTGTGTCTCACCTAAAAAATCCAATGCGCAGGCTGGAAGGTGGAAAGACCTTCCCCGGATCTTCGCTCGCGAAGACTGGCCATTATTATTATTATTATTATTATTATTATTATTATTATTATTATTATTATCTATATTGGCATTCCAAATGAAATTCTCTAGAAGCCATGAATAATAAAAGACCAGAAGACTGGAAAACTGATGCTTCCTAGTGCACATTACTGTCACTAATTCCTCCACCAAATACAAACACATTAATTACTGTCAGCTTTCAGTGACTATCAGGTTTTGCCATTAGCCTCCATAATAAATTTTTTTTACAAAATGGCAAGGAATAGTTAGTAATTAAACTCAAAATGTAGATGGTCTCCAAGGAAAGCACTGATTCCCTTTTCTTACTGACAGGATGCTCTCCATAAAGATGTTGGTGCTGACAACTTGCTTCATATAAGTGGATGAATATTGGATGTGATAACTTTCATCTCAGGAACAGTGAAGGTTCATTCTACTTCTTAGGTCATGCATAAGTAAATGTGAGAATTCCTAGAAGTAGTTTAATGTAAAAGTACTAAAAGGAACCCTGAAAATGTAACAAGTATCAATCGGTGCTGTATGTATTTTATAATCTAGTAATCAGTAGTTGTGTCAAGTACTGTCAAGGGCTTTCAGAAAAGTCAAGTAAATAGAAAGACAGTATGCTAAGGCTCATTTTATTTAGTAACATACCCAGTGTTCTCCAGTTTGGATCTGCTTATTCCCCAAGGGCCCACAAACAGGATTGGAACAACTGAAAGGAAAAGACATCAATTACAGCCAAGCTTGCAGAAGTAGGTGGTGCAGAGATATCTGCTTTTCAGCCTTCAATTTAGAAGTGTACAAAAATCAACCTGATCCTGGCTTTCCCCATTTGTAGTTCAAATGCAAAATGAAACTTCATTGTGGAATTGAATCTTGCATTTTCATACTGATATATACGTACACACACACAAACACAAGTGGTTGACCTTTTGAAATTTTCTAAATTTCAGGTCCTGAGAATTCAAAGTAATTGGCACATGAGGCCTCGAAGACTACCTTAGGCAACAGTTCTTGAACCTTAAAAGACTTATCAGTGAAGGTGTGAAACTCTGTCTAGTTAATCAAAAAAACTGATAAAGGATTGTTGTCGTGGACCTTTTCAAGAGAATCTGGGGTCCCCAGTCCCCCATTGTTGCCCTAACCCCTTCCTGGAAATCATAGGCTGCAGGCTGGACAAAAAAACCCCCAAACCCTGAAATAAAGGATTAGTGCATTGTTGCAATTGTCTACATATATGCAGGCACAAGTCTCAGTCAGAAGCAGAAGGCATGTGAGCTACAATAAGCAGGCCTTCCACTACATTCTCAGCCCAATAACACACAGAAGATTTTGTGGTGTATGTGGCAGAAATGAAAGGAGATGTGGGTCACTGGGGCCAGAAGAGGGATTATTCAGGATTCTGTAACAAAGCTAAGGTCAGGGAGAAAGCTGAAGTGTGACAATACAGGGAAAGGACCAAAACCAAAATACTTTTTAAAAAAGAATTGATCTCTGAGTGGGTAAAAAGGGGGAAAGAGATGAAAGGAGTCTCACTTGGGTGGGAGATGGCATTGGTACAATAAGTGGGTCCCAGAGAACAATCAGGACGTAGAGAACTTGCTAACAGAGCTATAGATCCAGGGGAGTATGATGTGGTCTCATGAGGAAAGGTGATACCCAGAATGATGAGGTGATGTTATCAAAGGCAGTTCTTGTACAGTAGCTGAGGAAATGTGTCAGTCAGTTAGAGGGTTCAGCCCTGCTGATGAGACACGTGCCAGATGTCCCATCTTAGTAGTGATGGTAATAAATATAAATAAGAGATTCAGCTAATTAGTGAGGAAAGCCTTTAGGAAATCAATGAATATGGTGCAGGAATGAGTGCAATAGAGGACCACCACCAACCATAATAGTAATAATAATAATGAGGATCATTATTATTTATAATCTTTCACTAGTGAGAAAATTTCCTAACAAACTTGTCTATTGCGGTTTGAACAAGGAATAAAATAACTAGTCACCACTATTCCAACAAGCTGGTGATCAAAGCAATAAAGTGATTTAGAGAGGTATGGAAGTATGGTGAAACAACACTAAACACCATGAAAGACAGTGGTCTTGCTGCATCAGCAACCTGTGTGCTCATATGGCCATACTGATAGAGCACAAGGGTCCTTTAAAGAGGAATTGGAACGGGAGCAGAGAAATCAAGGCATGGATGGTGAGAAGGACCCTCGAAAGGGTAAGGGCACAGCAGAGGACAAAGCTCAGAGGCTTGGCAATGGACAATGGAGTATGGTGTTAGGCTTTGACAGGAACTTCTAATAGATGAGGAAGGATGGGAATAAGTGTGAAAGTGAAGGAAAGTATTTTATGTCTGATGAGGAAGAAGTAAAAGAGGAAAAGAAAAGATGCCAAAAATGGGGTAGCACATTCAAAACTACAAACCTGAAAAATAGTTGTCACAGCAGCATAATGGATGAATACAGGGAAGGACAGAGAAAAAAAATCCTGTAGGAAATTCAACTGTGCCTATATAGTGAGATGCATAAAAGATTAAGGTAACATCCCACTTCACTGAAACATTGAAAGAATTCAGTCTACAAAGGTACTTGTCTTCTTACTTTGGTTCTAGAGAGAATCTCAGTATTAGAGACCTGAATTTAACCTTGTTACATAAAATTAAATCCCTCCTCCACAGGTAGACTAAACTAAAGATTTAAGCTCTACCTGATTCTAAAAACACAAGGAACTCTGATCTGAAAACACCCCTCAGAGCACTCAAGGAGTACAGTAGATCATACTGAGGGAGCAGAGGAGAGACAGGATGGGAGATGGAACAAGGATGAAAAATTAAAAATTCTGTTTTAATCATATGAAACTTGACTTCATAGTCAGATAAACAGAAAATATGAGGTTTTTTTTAATAATAATAATTACTTGGTTTGCCTGTAAACATAAAAAGGTTGGTCTGGAACATGGGACTCATTACTGACTGTGCATAAAAGGATACAGGAATGTATTTTATCTTCTTCTTTGTCAAGTGCCTTTATTCTGAAAAACTACAGTTCTTTTGGGGCAAGACCAATTTTCTGAGGTAATTTTAACCATCACATTTCTGTCCATGTGCCAAAATGCAATATTTGAATATTCCAGCTTGTCTTTAGTATTTGTCCTGACAAAACATTATCCTCCACAGAGATATCTCAATATGTACTTAGATTTAATCCCCAAATCTGAGCTGTAATATAGTGCCATAGGTTTAGGTGTCCTTCTCAGTTTAAATACATGAGTGTATTTGGTGAAAAAAGATTTCATATATCAAATTTATGCCTTGGAACCTGGAAGAACTTCAGCATTAACTTTGAGGAACTGTGTTCCAAATGATTGATGATTGCTTTGCTTAGGCTTTCCTTATCTCTTCATCATAGCTATTAAATAACAATTTTCATCAAATTGTTTACTATGTCAACTTAAGTTCAGCTTAACGTGAAGAACAGTCCCCATGTTTCAAATGTGAAAAGAAAATCACTTTTTTCCACTTATGCAGTAAACCTGCCTTTCCCCACTGTACATGCTTCCTCAATAAAAAGTGATGATTTTTTTCCCAAGAGCTCCTTTCTCATTTGATGTCAAAATGTCAGTTTATGATATACAACAAAATATTTAATCAATAGATCAACTTTTTTTAAAAAAATAACCTTTCCCAAGGTTGCAGCACTTCCTCTGTATGCATGGATTGACATTTCTGAAAAAGTCTGTGCTCCCATTGCAAACACCTCTGTCTAATCCTCTTTCTGTCCTCTCAGCTTTTCCACTTTATTCAGTTGTTGTAATGGTGCTCAGTAGTGAGGACTCTGCATTTGTCATCTGAACCTCAGAACTCCGTTGCTTCTCATAGGCTCACTGAAACAACCAGAATTTCTTAACTTCCGGAGATAAGCTAGTTTTTAGTTGGTCTTTGAAGAGCTAAGAGGTATGAGGTTCTGAACAGTCTGTTAGAGCTCTTCTATTGTTACAGGCAGCTAAATAAAATCTTATTTGTGGGAGGAACATGATGTATGTGTGAGCAATTTATATTGTGTGTTGTAGTTTTATAAACTTTTATATAGTTTATATAGTTTTATAGTTATAAGTGCCAAGATGGCTGCGGGTCTCTTTGCTAAAACAAAAGGAAATCAGTGCCAAGAAGAAGGTGGAGTTCGATAAAGTAAATAATTGCCTTGTTACCTGTTAATAACCAATTATAAATGTATTTGTAATGCATGTTTACATCTGGACAGTGACCTGTAATCAATTATGTGCTTCTTGTCACAAGACCTTGTATACAGATGCTATAAAAACCCTGAGCTATCCTAATAAATCGGACATATTTTAGATCTCATAGGTCGTGTATATATGTGTCAGAGCCTCCCCGCTAACACTTATTTTGGATTTAAAACTGCAAAGCAAGGAGAAAAGAGCAGAAATGTTCTAATTGTTAACAAAAGGAAAAATTGACACAATGCCAACTGAGTTCTATGCTCACTTGTAACTAACTGATTTAATGCTCCTAATTAAATGTGCCAACATCGCTGGGTCCAAATTTTTTTATTGGTCTCCAATAACAAGATTACACAATGCACAGAAGTAAACATCAGTTCTACTGACATCTTCAGAACAATACATACAATACTATCTCATGTGTGTTCAAAACCTGGTTCAAACGCTCTAAGAGACATGAGTCAGGTACCTTTTAATCTGAGCAGTAGTAGTAAACACATGCCATTTCTGTAAGAGAAGACATCTAAGTCTTCTGAGTTTTCTTTAATAGATTGTTATTCTTTCAGGCAAGATAGTTAATTTAGAACAAAACCATCTAGTATACTTCAAAAGGCCTTTATATCACAGTTCTGCAACTGTTTTGCTGAGGTTTGTGTGGTTATTTTGATGCTGAAGTTCTGTTTCGAATCTTGCCTTAAGCACTGACAGTTTTCTACAATGGTTCTTTATTATTAAAGGAATAGTCCTATTAGAAGAATATAAAAATGGTCTTATCTCAAATTTGCTTAATTCTAGGAATTTCTGCAGTAGCTTGATTTGGATGCTATGCAATTTCCATTTTACATTTCAGGGGATAAGGTAGATGTCAAAGAGTAGAAAAATGACCTGTCTTCATTCCCTGTGATTATTACAAGGCAAGTTCAGTATAACTGAGTGACATGAATGACTACCAAAGTGACAGGGAGACTGTCACAACCTTGATAACAATAATCAAAAATTTCCTTTAAACGTGTAAGTGTTGTAGCATTCCAACTTAATGATTAAAATTTCAATAATTTCAACTTCATCAATTTACACTTGAGTTTGAACATCTCTTTAAAATCAGACCTCAATTTATTAGATAATTTTAGCAAGAAGTACACCAGTAATATGAAACTGAAAAATTATCCACTTGTCCTTTTTTTTTAAGTGGGTTGTACACTACAGTCCCACAGTCCTGGACACACAATTTTACTTTTTTCAGCACAGTTGAACAGACACAGATGTGGTGACAGTGAACCATCTTGTAAAACCATATATTGATAAAATTTATATAGTTTTTATATAAAAGTCTATATATTATAGATTATAATTTTTATAGTTGGAACTTCTTATGGCTAACCCTTCTATCCTACTTCTTAGCTCAGACCGCTGGATTTGAATCAACAGCTCTTGCAACAAACTTAGATACTGTTTAAGAGGACATTTATTAATTATCATTTTAAAGTTTCAAAGGCCAGCAAGTTGTACAGGTAGCTTTTAGATGATTTTTTGTAATTGGCAAACCTTGATTTTCTCCTTTGTCCAACTAAGATACAGAATTACACTCACTGAGTAAGGAAAAAAAAATAAATTGTTGGACTATGGGACATAGTAAGTACAAAATTGTTTAAATGCTTGTAACTAACATTACGTTGTCTTTATTTCACAAAAAATGCCTAAAATGTAAGACCTCACTCATGCAGTGTTTCAGATTGTCCTCTACCTTAAAGCACACTGTAGAACTTTCAGGTGAGGTGGGAAGGGAAACATTTACAAGCAAATTGCTTATGTTTTGACATTTTTTGTTACGTAGGTGCTCTAATACAAAAGAAGGAAATGAAGTTGCTGCTAGTACCATAATATTCAGTGATGACAGAATATACCGTCAAATATAGTAAAATTTCTTCTGCCCACCAGGCTCCTGTTTTCTTTTGAACCAATTTCGCTAATTCCTGTACTTGCAGGTCAAGCTGAGCTGCCATAAATGTACCACTACTGGCATACTCTTATTTACAATTGCTGGCTTCAAAACTAACAGAGTTCAGATTTTATTTTCTTCATTATAAAATATCCTCTGCTGACTCAACAAAGCACCACATAATCAAATACTTAGAAACAGTCATGGACTTACCCCATCCTATCACAATGTATGTCTGCAGCAGTCGTTTTTCAGAGAGTACCACAGTTATCAATAATGTGTGCAGATAAATTCCTTCTACTAATAGCCAAAAGTAATTTGCCCCAACAAAGTAATGCATGAAAAACTGGGCAGTCCTGCAAATTACTACAATCTGTAGGAATGAGAGATCAGGAATCATTGTAAATATAGGTGTCATAATCTGCATATCAGAATTTTTACTGATGAGCTATTAAAATAATAGTCACCATTAACACCTTGAAGGTAATTTTGTTTGTTGACATGAGCAAGCTCTACTCCTACATCATAAAAGTGTAATTTATTCACAGTGGTTACAAATGAGGTATTGTTAGTCCATTTTCTAAACAAATGTAAGAAAATTAATACATTTTCCTAGTACAGAAATACTGTTTTTCTCTCTCTTACTGCTGTTTCACAGAAAATCACAGAATCACAGAAAATCACAGAATCACAGAATGGTTTGGGTTGGAAGGGACATTAAAGATCATCCAATTCCACCCCCTGACCTTGGACAGGGATACCTTCTACTAGACCAGGTTGCTCCAAGCCCCGTCCAACCTGACCTTGGCCACGATCCCACCCCAGCCTTGCACAGGCGCATCTTTCCAGTTTGCTGGTTGAGCAGTCAGGTGGCGTCGGTTCCACATTGATGTGAATCATTTACCTACCTTGCACCCTCTGTCACTGGTATTATTGATGTTACTGTTCATTTTCTTATCTCATTGCTTCTTCCTCAACCCACGATCTTTTCTCTACTCATGATCTCTTTCTTTTGTGACCCTGATTCTCCTCTCCACCCCACCACAGGGGAAGGGAGTTTCACGTGGTGTTTCAGTGAGCACCAAGTTGGGGAATACCATTCCTAAACCACTAAAGATACTGTTGTTGGAAAAGCCAGATTTGTGTGCACTGCTTTATGCTACGCATAAGAGGAGTGAATAAATGCAGTTTTAAATAAGTGCCAAATAAATACTGAGATTTCTTCCTGAAAGTTGCAGGTGCGAGTTGTTTTACTTAAGTGTCTGTTTCTAAATATAGCACTCCATTAATATGTTCTTTCTATAAGAGCCTTCCTATAAAATAAATCTATTACAATTTGTCAAATCAGAATTTTATCTTGGTTACCCAAATTTTATCAGCAAAATTTCAACATCCAAAGTTTGATCAACAAACACCTTAAAACTTGATGATGGCAAATTTCCAAAACTGAAACTGTTATGACCTCTAGCAGCACACATTTACTATTAGCTATGAAACAATACGTTACCTCTGGACTGAGGTATAATATCCATCCAGTTTCATCATTTGGTCTCTTTGAGTAAATATTGTAGTATACAGTGTCTTTTATAAGAACTGCTGTGGCACGCAAGATAAAAGATGCAAATAAATTCATATGGATGTAGTTTCTTGTGCAGTGTAGTTTTCTGTGGAGAAAAAATAATATATGAATCCTCTAGAATATATTTAATTTGCAGAAATAAAATTTTTAAAAATGGACAAAAAAAAAGGAGCAAAACAGCCGTTGTATTCACACTGTTGCCATGAATGGATTTTGCTTAGAATTGCTTTTGTATTGCTTATTAGGAAAGTACAAGTTATTTACATAAAATCACAGAATAGTTTGGTTTGGAAGGGATCATAAACCCCATGTCATTCTACCCTCTGCCATGGTCAGGCACACCTTCCACTAGTCCAGGTTGCTCCAAGGCCTGTCCAACCTGGCCTTGGACACGTCCAGGGATGGGAAAGCCACAGTTTCTCTGGATGACCTGTCATGGTCATCACAGGGAAGAATTTCTTCCTAATATCTAATCTAAATATACCCTCTTCATCTTAAACCTTTTCCTGTCACTCCGTGCCCTTATCCAAAGTCCCTTCCCAGCTCTTTTTGTAGGCCCTTTAGGTACTGGAAGAGTGGAATGTACCAGAGCATTACAATCTAAGTCATAAATTCAATTACATAAAAAGGAGAATGTGTGTACAGGTGTCTGTACTTCTAAAATGCATGTAAATTTGTACTAACCTGAGTAAAGAAAGTATAAGCAGAGCTAATACAAGTGAGATCAGAGAAAAGTAATATCCAATGGTGTATAACAGCTGTAATGTGGTAAGTAGTTTATGTTCTTCTTCCTAGAAACAAAGAAGAAAAATATGTTGAGTAGGCAGGTGGGCAGATCACAAACACAGCTCAGAAACTTTCATGTTCACTTACAAGGAGTCAGGGTAGAGTTCTGGTGCCTGCCCTCTGCACTGCCTTGTGAAACCAGTGTATGACAGAGACATTTGCAGCCAGGCTTAGTTTCTTTTTAAATTCAAAGGCACTCTCAGACTCATTTCAAATTTCTCCTGCACAAACACCATTCATAGTGTGAATCACAGCTAATTGTTGCCATGATTCCATGCACCAAATAGAGCCTGGTGGGTTAACAGTTGAAGAGATCAACCCACCCAACCTGCACACACAAATACACTTACTCTGTGTGTGGTCTGGAGACACAGTTATAGATCAGTTGTGCTGTACAATTTTGAGAGCTAGCTCTGTCTAGAGGTACTGAAATAGACTGACTTCAACCTTGAGTTCAAAGAAAAAAATAAAAATTATTAAATTGGACCGGTATAGAATGTTTTTGAATGACAAATAAGACATCACAGGAGGAAGGAAAGTACTTACATTTTTACAGATTATCATAGAATATCATGAGCTGAAAGGTACCCACAAGGAGTCCAAGTCCAATTCCTGGCCCTGCACAAATTTCCTTCCAATTTGCTTCATTTAACTTTTTTTTTTTTTTTTTTTGCTAGGTTTTTCCATTTTAGCTGCTTATGTCTACCTCTCAACTATTCATACTCCTTTTCTAGCTCAGTGAAAGCTTCTTTGCAGAGGGAATGTGAGATACAGGATATGTGACTTTCATAATCCATATCTGGCCTGCAGACATTTTCTTGGAACCTGTGTCTTTTTCTCAGTGAGTGTGCTGTTGTTTTACTTCTCAGCACCAGGGATTTTAGCACTGTCTTTCTGCTAGTAGTGTCCTTAATAATTTTATGCTTGTCAGCTGTACCTCTCGAAGAGGGTGAAAATGTCCAGGGAGAACAGTGTGACTGCAGGAGATTCTCAGCCATTAGTCACTCTAAATAAACAGAAAGTTTAGTAATTCATGTACTCACTATGTAAAGAGTATATTAAAAACTTAGTAGTCCTGGAGATACTGAACTAATAACTAATTTCATAACTAATAACTAGTTTCATAACTAATCAATAAAGCAATGTTACTTGATAAAGTAATAAACAGCACTCATGCAATAAATTTTGACATCAGCTAAACTGAACTCCATAGCAAAAGACGTTTCCCCTCTGTGGACAAAGTCCAGCTCTTGGGCTGATGCAATATGGGAAATACAGGATGGAAGGCATTAGCATTAGAGAGAATCCTCCAGTCTCTGACCAGCGAAACTTGAAATGACGAACTGATGGCTCGTTAAATGCTAAAAGGCTCATTAAATGTTGAAGAGCTTGGGAGGGAAATTGTCTGAACTTGATAGACTACTCTGATTTGTGGGGATGCTGGGATGCTTTGCATTTAAGTTATTTGCTTCACAAGTTGCAGTCTTTTTCTATTTTACTAGGGAAAATCAGCATAAGTGAAGACTGGACTCTGAACAGAAAATAATTTGTGGCATCTAAAGCAGAATCCTCTTCCTTAATATTTCCTCTTCTGCTTCTTCTAAATAAAATAACAGCTTTCCATTTTGTAATTTAAATGAAATTTGAACACTCGTTGCAGGTATTCAGTGGAAATGTTTTGTCAGTTACTCAAGAAGGGATTAAGAAGATTAAAGTATTCAACCATAATATAAAAAATACTTACTTTTTTTTTGAAATGATTTTTCTCAGAACATTCTGAACTATCCCGCCAAATGTCTGTGGAATTTTCCTTTGTTTGCCAAATCCCTTCATCCAAGCAGACTCTGTATACATGTCCTACGCTTCCTGAAAGTAAACAGAGATTTAGTTAGAAAGATCAAAATAAAGATTTCATTTTTCATATGTTTGAAAGATTTCTTCCTTGTACTACCACAATAGACGCTACACCACCTCAACTCAAAAAAAGCAATAAACCCCACTTTTCTTTTGTCTTTGACAATATATTTTCCATATTTACATAGGACAAAGTAGGAATGTAATTTAGAAGAAATAAACTCCCTGATTTTTACAAAAAACCCCACATAGTTACTACATCCAAAAAGAAAAAGCCTGCATCTCATTTTATTCTTTTTCCTCATTAAGCTGGGTAATTCATTGTCCAGGTTGTGCAGTCAAAACTCTAGGAAAATTTGATTAGGGAATGATCTTTCCCTGTAACACCTGGTGTTGCAAGTGTTGCAGGCTGGTGCTTCATTTCTGTGCTATCGGGCCCCTTGGGCACCTGGAGTGAACTGGTGAATCTTTCTTGGCTTTGTCCTAGTTTTTGTGGAAATTCAGACAGAAAAAGTTACATGGAGGGAAGATGTTTTCATATTTATTATGAAGAGCTGGATCTGTTCTAAACTGTTGGCAGAAGCAGTTTTTTGAGAGAGTAGATAGAAGCTTGGTCTCTTTCTGCTTATCAGCATAAAAAAGGACAAATGATATTAAAGAACAAACTATGTGTGGTGTAAGCTGGAAAAAGCTGGGATAAGCAGCCTATAGTTGTCTCCCACACCTTAAAAAACTCAGGCAGGTTTGGTCCCTCCAAGTGTTATTAGAAATAACAAGAAATAATAATTAGAATATAATAAATAAATTAGAAATATAAGAAAGACTGTGTAGCAGGATTCACAAATGCTGGTCTGTGGTGATAGGAATGCCCTTTCATTTCTTTAGGAGAAAGGGCATGTTGTTTACTCTTCAACAATTTTGCTTCTGAAGATGTTTTCAATTTTCCCTTCCTAAGAGCTTCCCTGCTCCACTCCCTCCAGGAAAACGCTGCTTGGAAGGCTTTTTTGTTCACCACACCACTTGCTGTTGGTCTGCTATAACCTGCTGGAGGGCTGACTGCTTGGACTGCTGCTTGATTTGGCTCTTACAGCTTTCTGGGAGAGAATTTCATGTCTGGGGGTTGGTGGGGACCCCAGAAGTCGAACTTCAGAAGCTGAGCCCCAAATATGTTACTATCAATAAAGTCCTGGCAATATGTTTACACAACCTTGCAAATGTTGCTTTGTAGCAGACAATACAGAGATATGGCAAGCACAAATGGAAAAAAAAAGAGCAAATAAACATCGACAACGATTTTGTGCCTCAGTTCAGAAAAGGAGTAGAAAGAAGTGAGCCAAGAGAACACTCAGACATTTCAGAGGACACTGGGACAAGGTAGACAAGCACCACCTGTCCTTTATCTGGATTCCCAGCACAAGCTCCAAGACAAGTTATCACTTTAACATTACCATTTTCCAACCATGGCAAATATGAAGGACAAGGAACAGAGACATTTCCTGGGCGTGAGTAAGGCCAGCAAACAAACTGATCAAATGTCCCATTGCAATGTATTCCTGGAGAGAGAAGCAAATAAAAGTTTTACAAAAAGTTGTCAAGACAATGGACAAACATGGAAACCATTGTGTACTGTTCCAGGTAACCTGGCAAGCTACTCCAGAGTAGCAGAAAAACATCGTGCATTCACTGTGCAGTTCTCTGTGCACAGGGCAGAAACATCTGCTGTCTTTCTTCCCTGGATCCACACAACAGCTGCAGGTTTTACACACTTTACTAGGAGATAAAGGTATTGCTCTTCACAAAGAGACTGAGGTCAGACCTCCCTGTGGCCTGCAGCTTCTTCACAAGGGGCAGAGGAGGGGCAGGCACTGATCTCTGCTCTGGGGGGACCAGGGACAGCCCCCCGGGAATGGCTGGAGCTGTGTCAGGGCAGGCTCAGGGTGGATCTCAGCAAAAGGTTCTTCCCCCAGAGGCTGGTTGGGCACTGAACAGGCTCCCCAGGGCAGTGGGCACAGCCCCAAGGCTGCCAGAGCTCCAGGAGGGTTTGGACAACACTCTCAGGGAGATGGTAGGATTGTTGGGGTGTCGTGGGCAGGGCCAGGGGTTGAACTGGATGATCCTTGTGAGTCCCTTCCAACTCAGGAAGTTCTATGTGTCTGTGATTTTACGAAACTATGATCCTGAGACCTCTGTGGTCCAAATATAACAGTCAGATTCCAGGCATGTTATCAGTCGTTGTTTTTTGTACATGCTGCAGACTGGTAAATGGAACATATTTCACCTTTCCCGAACCCTCTGAGAACTGTTCTTAGCTCAGTTAAGCTCTGCCAGCTTCTCACAGTGACTTCTCTTAGTCTTTGGGCAATATCTCATTACCAGAGAAATTATCAGTAACACTGATATATCTCTGATGTATCACTGGTAATATCTCAGACTAACTCAGTTTTGAGATGCATAAGTATCATATCACTCACAGGACTTAAGGTTAAGATAAAACATTTGATAACGCAGAACTGAAATGGTGCAATCAGATGACAGTAACAAAAAATAAAATACATTAATAGCTGCTCCAGTGTCTTTCTTTTTGGGATACACTGAAGTTCTTCTCTCTTAACTTTAATGGATTTGCCCATCCGAAGCTGGAAGAGTTTATCCTGCTTTGTTTTCCATAATGCTTAGCAATACTTCAAGAAACTTATGTGGGAAGAAGAATACAGGGAGCAACAAAGATAGCTGTGTGCTATCTCACCAACATCTTTTTGGGGTGCTTCTGCTCAAATACAGAGCACAGTATGTGCTTTCTTACTAATTCCTACCTTTGAGGCTAAACATCCGTGACATCATCTGTGTTATGACCTGTGTAGCTGCTAACATTTACAGTTGCATTTTTATTATTCCTTTCCCCAATTTCTGATCAACTGTATATTGGGTAGGCTGCCAGAAAAATACTTTTTTTTTTTAAATTTTATTTTATTTTATTTAAATTTTTTTTTTTTATTTCATGAAAACTGGAGTTCTGAGTCCCTGTAGTTCTCTTCATCACCTACTACAAACTACTTCCCTCTAATATCTTGCCAGGGTCATCTGGCTTAGTTCTAATTGCCAACAAAGCCACCATTCTCTGCCTTCCCAGCAGAACACACTCTTCTTTTGCATCATGCTGAGGGTTTCTGCACACTAATGTCTTCAGGAAAGACACTGAGGTGCTGGAGCAGGTCCAGAGAAGAGCAACGAGGCTGGTGAAGGGACTTGAGCACAAGTGCTGTGAGGAGAGGCTGAGGGAGCTGGGGTTGTTTAGTCTGGAGAAGAGGAGGCTCAGGGGTGACCTCATCACTCTCTTCAACTACCTGGGAGGAGGTTGTAGCCAGGTGAGGGTCGGTCTCTTCTCCCAGGCAATCAGCAACAGGACAAGAGGGCACAGGCTTAAGCTCTGCCAGGGGAGGTTTAGGTTGGATATTAGAAAGAAGTTCTTTACAGAGAGAATGATCAGGCATTGGAATGGCCTGCCCAGAGAGGTGGTGGATTCACCGTCCCTGGAGGTTTTTAAGATGAGGCTGGGTGTGGCACTGGGTGCCAAGATCTGGTAATCACAGTGGGGTTGGATCAAGGGTTGGACTTGATGATCTCGGAGGTGTCTTCCAACCCAGTTAATTCTATGATTCTATGATTCTGTGATTCTAAGGTCACAACTGGTCATAGATCTCTAGCTGCTCACTACTGTTTCTCTTTCTTTCCTGTCAGCATTAGTGGTAAGCTGTACTGCACATGTACTGGTTGAGCTGATCTGTGCTTTGCTTCCCTTGCTTTTTAGAAAAACACTTGTCTCCTCTGCAGTCCTCACCACTTTCTTGCTTCTTTGACTGTAGTCACATAGCGTGTAACTTATGGAAGCTTCTTTCTCTTAACTTTGTGTGTTTTCTCCCCTATTTCACACAGATGGCTCTGACTTCTGATGCATCCACCTCACCTCCCAGTTTGGAGTCCCCAACAAATTTGGTGAGGGTGCTTTCAATATCTGCCGATAGCCAGATTTGCTTTTAATTTTTCCTTGGTAAACTGCGGTCACCTCTCTCCCAGCCACTTCTTGGATTTCTCCAACTACTCAAACCAAAGCCTTGCTATCTTTTCTTTAAGACAAAACACCTAGCTGAGCAGAGTTTATACACTACTGAGCAGAGTTTACACATGAGCAGAGCGAAATAATGACAGATTATAAAATCACCTTTTGCCAAACAGCATAAAACTTTGAGCACCTAGCCAAAGGTGGGAGGTGTGGACTCAGGACAAAACACTGTCCTCTGAAGCTATACTGCTCTTTATTCAAGAATCCAGGAGGCACAGACACAAGAGAATAAACAAGGGCATAAGGCTAATGTTTGTAAGTGAACATGGTTCTGCATCTTAACTTATTGTCCTAATGGCTGTGTCCCAAAATGCACAAGCAGTCCTGTGAGAAGGCAGCAGCTCCTCAGCTGCCTTGACCAGGCAGAAAACAGACTCTGTCCTCTGTCATGTCCCAAGTGTTTTGGGTCCTTGTTTGCCATGGCTCAGCTTTCAAAGTATAGAAATGGGAGACATCTCCTTTTCCCTGGGTGCTTTGTTCTCCTGTGGCTAGCACAGTTCCAGGAACTGGGTTTGACTTCCTTCAGGCTGAAACAGGAAGTGAAAACTGGTCTTATCAGGTTCTTACAAAAAATGGCTAGCAAGACACCTCTGGACCAGACACTCAATTCCACACCACAGTGGCATCACTGTTCAGTGTTTCCTTTCTTTATATGATCTGGTTTTATGTATAGGAACATAATGTGTTTCAGGAATAAGAAAGCCAATAATTTCATGATTGCATTGTTTGCATGATCATTACAGCTGATTATTCTACACTTAAAACTTAGGAACAGACACTTCCACAAAGCAAGGAAAAGAATATTTGCATATTCATCAATGTTACTTAACACATTTCTTTACTGTGCTGTTTAATTCCTTACCAGTATCTATTGTTGATTCCTGTAGCATTTTTAAGCATTCCTGTTTATATTTATTCCATTCAGTAGTGGTTTTTTTCAGCAGAGATCCTTTGGCCTGGGAGTGAAAATACTGTTCATGAGGAAAATCAGTTAGAATCTTGTGGTTGGTCTTTAATGGTAAGATTCTTTCCATTATAAGGAATTTCAGAGAAGAGGAGAGAAGAGGACAGAGAGGACAATGGAGGGTAGATAAAAAGGGAGATAAAGACAGACATTCCTTCTCCGGGAATTATAGAATCACAGAGACACAGAAAGCTTTGGGTTAGAAGGCAGATTAAAGACTATGTAGTTCCAGCCCCCCATCATGGGCAGGGGCACCTTCCACTATCCCAGATTGCTCCAAGTCCCATCCAACCTCCCTGCCCCTTGAACCCTTCCAGGGATAGGGCAGCCACAGCTTCTCTAAGCAATCTGTGCCAGGACCTCCCCACCCTAATAATGAAATTTTTTCATTTGCTGTCTGTGCCCAAACAAGTCATGTATTGCCACAGTGCTATATTACCACAATTTTTGTTTCAACTTCTGCAAAGTCCCTTTTAAAAGATCCACATAGACATTTAATTGCCAGGAACTGTGAGGGTGCACATTGGCATTTCATTCCTCTACCTTAGAAAATGTATGCTGATCTTCACTAACTTTACAGTCTTTCCAGTCTTTTTATAGTCAACCAAGGTCAGCCATGGATTTATGTTTCTGCTAGTTTAATTTAGGAATCTGATTGACGATAATTTTGAGGGCTGTTTATTTTTATTTTTAAAGGTAATCAAGTACACCTGGTTGAGTAGTACAGAAAAAAAAAAAAAAAAAGAAGAATATAACAGCAATGAATAAGCTTTATTATTTAACTACTAGCACCTTTCCTCTGGTGCATTTTGTACTCCTTTCCAGCATTTCAAAGACTACTTATTTCACCAGCTGCTGCAATTATGCCATAGATCCATTTCTTTTCCTCTTTTTTTTTTTTTTTTTTTTTTAAGAAACACTTTTGTAAATCTTAGTTTTACTTGCCCATCTGCACCAATTGTGCTGCCCTTTTTGCCTGGACAGGACACCAATTAGCTTTCCTCTTGTGTCCGTATGTGAGAAGGGTCTTTGGTCTCAAGATTTCCCATGTAATAAAATGGAGAATTATTTTTCCCCTGTCAAAATTTTCTCCATCTCACACAAACGGATTTTCTTGTGTTCTGAACCTTTATAAGTACATTTATTTTCCTTTTTTGTTTGTTTGGGGTTGGGGTTTTTTTTAGGAAGAGATGTTTTTGTGTGATTTGGGGGTTGATTTTTTTTTTGTTTTAGATATTTTCATTATCTAATGTTATATCTAATATTTTATATCAATATCTAATATCTAATATCAATATCTAATAGATATGTTTTAGATATTTTCAAAGCTGATTTTGTCTACACCTTCCTGTCTGATCTTCCTCTTCCAGAGGAGATCAAGAATTCCTTTAAATTCTGAAAAGCTACATTTCTGAAGACAGTTTAATCTCAAACATGATATGTTCAGAGAGAATAGAAATAGAAATAAAAGAATAGAATAGAAATAAAAGCACTTCAAGAAAAATCTCCCTATAAGTAGTGAAGCCTTGAAGACAGTCTTAACTTTGGATTTAGTCAGTCTAACGACAGTAGACTCTGCTGAGTCCCTTTTGGAAATCCACCATCCCATGATTACAAGAGCAGCCTCCTCTGCTTGGCTGCTCCTCTGCTGGCAGGCTCCTGGCTCCATGCTGTCATGGTTTAGGAACGGTATTCTCCAATTTAGTACTCCCACTAAAACCATGAGCCACTTGCCCTCTCCTCTCCAACTGGAGGCACAAAAGGCAAAGATCACAAGTTGAGATAAGAACAATTTACTGGAAACAGCAACAACCAGTAACACCATCAGTACTAAGGACAGAGGGTACAAGAAAAGAAATTACTCACATGGAAAACAACCCCTGAAAATGGACAATACCGGACAGGTGTCTCCTCCACATTTGCTTGACTGGAAGAGAGTCCCCCTGGGGGAGAGTCCCTTCCCCTTCCCTCAGCAATGATGTGAGGTGGCATGGAATAATCTCTGGGTCCTGACCATGGCTGGAACCAGGACACTTGCTCTGGCTCTTTCTCTTTGCCTGCTCACCCTGTGCAAGAACAATCCACCCTCAACCCACAAGGTCGCCCTGGGCCTATCACCCACTCTTTTCTTCTCTGGGTGAAGAGAGGTTGAGAACACAAGTAAAGCAAAAAAGGACATCGAGGTCTGAATTGGTACCTGCTTTGACAGACCACTTCTGGCATGTTGTATGAGAGAGAGTTGCTGCATTTATAAGACGTGGATAAGATGTCTCTGCGGTCACAGATGACAGGGCTTGAGGGGATTGTCAGTGCTGATTGATAAGGGACTGAGAGTAGAGGCTTAGGAGCCCTGCTTGAACATGCTGTCTTGAGTTACTCCCTTAGCACTGGGAAGTCAGTAAGCAGAAAGGAAAGAGACCTAGACATTACCATGAAAAGGTGAAGTCAGGGATGTAGATCAACAGTTGCTAGCAGAGAGGAAAAATAATCAAATTTATCTCAAATGGTAAAATTAGTTCTAATATCAAATCTACTCTACTGTTAAAAAAAAAAAAAATTCCCAGCTATAGACAAATTTTAGTAATGATTTTATATACAGTGACTGAAGTGTTTAGGATGCAGTCAGCATCTGTGGCATACACCTTTAGCAATGTAAGGATTGCAGCTGTCCCAAGGGGACTCATACTTGAACATGCTCTCCCTAAATATATGGATATTCACATTTTCTGGTACATCTTTATCATACAACACTGACTGCAGAGGCCTTTAAAAGGACCATAGCTGATAATTACTGTTTAGAAAAGCAATGGCTTAAAATAGAAGAGTTAAATGCAAAATTAATAATTTTGGTTTTTTTGGGCTGATGAAGAAATGCCCAATTAGAACCAAGCAGCAGAGAAAAGATAATGCTAGATGCTGCTTACAGTCCAATATTAGCACAATGACCTGATCATTATTTATCCAGGGAAAAGAACACCAGCCTAAAAAGTCACTGTGCAATAAGCACTCTGGTAACCTGAAACCAGGGGTTTGAGAGGCCAGAGGCAGGCCAGCAGTCAAAAAACACTGTCACTGTAAGTCACCGAAAATGAAGACCTCATTACTGGTTGAAAATGTTACCAATTTTAAACAGCAAATTTTGGAGACCAAACCAAATATAAGTTTTCTAAAACAATCCTTCTATTAAAAGAATGTTTATTTGTTCTCCAGGAAAAGTCAATTTCCTTTTGTCTGGACTAGACCCTTTTTTTGCAACTACCTTTCCCACATGCGTGGTTGTCTTGAACTTGTCTGACCTTTGTGTTGTTCTAAGGGCTGAGAGAGCTCTTCACTAGGATCACTATTTCATGCATGTTTTTACTGTGTAAAATGTTACCTGCTCAATACTCTGCCTTTAGTCTCTCAGCTAATTTCCAGACACTCTACCTCAACTTACAGGGAGTAGAAAGACTATAATTATTCTTCCTCTGATGGGATTGTAAGATAAGGAGAGAATATTTACAACAGCCATGAGAAAGGAATGCACATTTCCAAAATAAAAAGCATCTTGACATTTTCCTCATGCAGGCCTCAAACTGCTGGGAACCATGGGAGATTTTTCAGACACTCATAGGTCAGTGAACCTCATTTGAAGAGGCAGAGACATGGAGATGACGCATTTGGAGACAGGACTTTAGGACAGCATTTAAGGGAGAACACTCCAGTTTCTAATAAACAAATGCATTAAATAGACCAGGAAGTACAAAGAAAGCCTCACTGTTACATGACTGCTTATTTGGTTCCATTCCTGGAGACAAGGTTGACACACAGTCATGAAGAAGTTCACTCAACCAGAGTAAGGAGCAGTTGACTAATTGTTGTTCTAAAAGACTAAGAAATCCCCCTAGATTTATGTTATCAGAGAAATGATAAACAGATATTCAAGACAAAACCATGAACGGCAGCAACTTGTTCATTTATCATCAGGTACTTACATAGGGACTACCAATAAAAATAGCTAAAAAAAGCAAGCTTGCTGTTCATACATGACTATTTAGTCTGCAGTGGCTTCCACTTTTTCCGGGAAAAGGACATACATGTAGAGAAAGGCCAAAAAATGCTGGAAGTACCTGGGTATTAGGAAAATCAGCTTTCTTTCCCTTCTTGTCTTGAAAATGTTTGATATCTGACCTAAACCTCCCCGACTCAGATTCATGTCATTCCCCTTGGGATCCAGATCATAAGAATGGAAATCTTGCGTGATAACACTAAACTGCCACTGGAAGGCAAACCATATGGGCTGGGAATATGGCACTAGCCCTTAAATGGAAGGGAAAATGAATGAACTGAGACATCTTGATGTTCTATGTCTGTTTAAGTAAGTGAAAAGGAGTTGACAACAAGTCAAAGGGACAGGTTTGCCTCTATATCTTACATCCATGTCTCTTTGGTTCTTCAGACATGGGCACAAGTTGTCTCAGGAAGTGGATGGTCTACAGTCTGGGTCAATGTGAGAAGTATAGCGATCACTGATGAGACTGTGGGGGCTTTTCCTGGTTTTGCCATATGGGAGAAGGCCAAGTCATAGAATCATAGAATGGTTTGGGTTGGAAAGGCCATCTTATTCCACCCCTCTGTCATGGGCAGGGACACCCTCCACTAGACCAGATTGCTCCAAGCCCTGCTCAACCTTGCCATGAACACTTCCAGGGATGGGGTGTATGTCCTGTGGCTGTGTTCTGAGAAGACCCATCAAATAGTTCTCTGCAGCTGATATAAATAATGATTACAAATCTCAGCAAGGTTTTATTATGATCTAAGTTTTGGGCTACTCAGTGCTATCAAAACTTAGATACAGTGCATGCTCAACAGAAGAAATACGAGCTTTTGGGGAAATTTCCTGTGATCTCAAGCAGTGGCAACATACAGTTAAGCATGGCTTTTAATCTCAGCTTTACGTTTCAGTTACCATTCAACCACTGCATTTAAACAGGACTTCTGACTGAGCAGAAATTAAAATCCAGCATCCAATGCTGGATTGGATGCCCTACAATGGACAGCTCTTCAGGTTATCTGAATTTTTCTTGGTATCAAAGGAACTGCCTCAGCCCATCAACCTGGCAACCCACTTACACCAAAGTTCACCCATACTGAAATGTAATGACCCTGGAAGGATTAGCAATTTATTTAGTTTGCACCAAGATGACACTGCTGTTTAAAAATATGTTGGATGCTGCAGAAAGTGCTGCCTGAAGCTTTCATTTAGGAAATGGATTACATATGACTGCAGACTGGTTTAAATTTAAATTTTTCATAACTGACCACAGTATAATCATGGTTTCACCCTTTTAATTTTTTATTCTAAGCTAGTGGTAAAATGAAATGTTTCTGTTTATTCAGACTGTGCTATTATGGACAGAAAAAAATCCTTCGATTTATGTGTAAACTAGAAATAAAAAGTTAAATATTTTCTTATTCTTTCAGCCATGGTTTATTATTTTTCATATCTATAGAAGTCTTTGCTAGAAAATGCAATTTTTCTTTCTTATTAAATAAAATATAAAGAAATATAACACATATTTCTTTAAACAAGTTCCAAGAACCACTATGACAAAATAATTCACTATGATTTATAGTCTTGTGAAGTTTCGATCTCACAGAAGTACTTGGGAGATTTTCTGTTAGCATTGATGGAACCAGTGATTTGGCCGAGGTGTTTCACAAGCCTGAAAGTTGTTTCAGTTCTATAAACAGAAGCTCCAAATAGAGAATCTCTTCAAATCAAACAGATTTGAATTACAGAAAAGCATTAGGAATATTTTCTTTTTTAAAAAAATTAATTGTGTTTCCTGGTAGCTTTTTCTCCATAAAAAAGCTAGAAACACAGTTATCAGCTGTCCTGCACATAGAGATGCAAACCCATTTCCTTAGAAAGCCAGAAGAATGGAGAATGAGTGGATAGAAATACCTTATTGCTTTCAGTTTAGAGTAAATCTGTTGCTTGTGGTAATGCCTATATACACTTATTTCATAGAAATGTACCCTAAATCTATATATGAATTTTATTCTGTTAAATTGAAATTTGACACATATTATTAATTACTCTTAAAATTTATTCAAATAAAGGTTGATATTAATAAATAATGATTATTAGAAATCTACATGAAAATTTCCTTGAAGTACACTGTTTTATCATTAAATACCTAAAATTCTTCCAAATTATAAGACAATGGGGAAGAAAGAAATAAGTGCTCAGATTTTTTTATAGATTTAGCAAACAAAAAGAGAAATTAATAATTTAGTGGACCTTTACAAGAAATAAAGGTAAAACTCACACACAGATTTACCAGCCTTCTGTAGGAAGGGAAGGTGCTGAATGAAACCAGTAACACCACATTTCACAAATGGGAGATTCAGTGCTTACCCCTCATACAAGAGAAAAGCTAAAAGGAGTGCCAGAAACAAAGCAGAGCTGTTTTTAGAACAGAGAAAATACAGTAGAAAATAAACATGACTCACAATAGTATTGATATCTGGTAGGAAAACTGAAAAACAAATATAATTCAATATTGATCAATATTGGGAGGAAAAGAGATTATATAAATGGTTGTAAACACAATCTATTCACTGTGTGAATGAGGATTAATAGAAGAAAATTGTAATAAATTACCTAGTAGAATAGAATTCTAATATAAAACTCTACAGCTTTGCAGCCAACGTTTCTCATGACTAATTTGTAATAAAAATAAGTTGTTACATCAGAAGGATTTTTGAAACAAACATGCTGTTTGTGAAGGTTAACGTTATGAGGTAGAAATCTGCATTCATACTACTATTAATTATTGAATTAGCTTACCTGTTTCACGAGAAACAATATTATGACAGAGCTGGTAGATGTGGGAGATATTCTGGTCCAGAGACCCATGCTGGAATCAAGACCAGAAAGTGTCACCATGCCCATTCTAATAAATTTGCCCCAATATGCTGCTATTTCACTCTATTATAGATCAATTATTTCACTCTCTCCTGTACAAACAAACAAACAAACCCAACCAAACTAGCAAAAAAACCCCAAACCAACAAAAATGTCTTCTTTTATAAGTGCCACTGTTCCATTGATCTTCTCTACAAATAAGTGAAGAAGTGTCCTAAACTGTCTAGACTTGCCAGACTCCAACTGCGTTTTGCTTTTTTTCTGATTAAAGGCAGAGAGAGCTTACTTTAAACTTCACAGCAACTTTGCTTACTGTAGCTCGTCCATTAGCCAATAAGAAGTCAGAAAACTATTAAAACATTAAGGGGCTGATCCTGTTCTCTTGAAGTTCCATGGGAATATTGCCAGTGGTTTTGCCAGAACGAAATCCAGCTCCATAAATACACACATATACACAACTCACAAAAACAAAAAAGATGTCTTAGAACACATTAAAACTTTGTGTAGGAAGCTTGCTGACTCTAGCTGGCTGTTAGAAAGCAGCTAAATAAAAGCTAGTTTTATGCTTTCTGATCATGTTTTGTCATCCAGCCAGTGCAGGATCAGGATGAACCTAAATGTGCAAAAAAATTTGTGACCACCAGTTAAGTTTTTGCTACAATTATTGTGACATGTAGTGTTTTCTTCACAGCTTCAGTTGCCAGGTTGGAGAAACTGACAATGAGTTTCAGCTTAAATTTTCAAAAAAATTTTCCAGTTGTAGAGAAAAGCCTGAAGACATTAATAAATCTATACATTATGAAGGTTCAGAGAATAAAATAATTTATAATGCAATAATTTTAGTGTCTAGTTTGTCACATTTTGAGTTGGGAATATGGAGAGTCAAGAGGACGTTGCCTCATTTGTTTCCAAGAGAAATGAAATTTGTGGCTATTTGTATTGAAGGATAGCTCATGTCCTTTTGAGAATCAGAAAATCATAGAAATGTTGTCCAAATGCTTTTGGAGCTCTGGTAGGGTTGGAGCTGTGATCACTTCCTGTTCCAGTGCTCAACAACCCTCTGGGGGAAGAACCTTTTCCTAATATGCAACCTAAACTTTCCCTGACGCAGCTGCAGCCGTTTCCTCCGATCCTGTCCCTGGCACAGAGAGCAGAGATGGAGCTGCCTCTTCGCTGCCCCTCAGGAGGAAGCCGCAGACCTCAGTGAAGTTTGACCTCAGTCTCCTTCAGGATGAACAACCCAAGCTCCCTCAGCAGCTCCTGATATGACCCCTCTGGGCCAGGACCCCGAAGTTTGAGCAGCATAGTTGGAGAACAGACAGAGGAGTCATCCTGGGACCCCACAGCAGTGGGCCAGCACACCCCATTAGCCTGACCATCAGTGTGACCCAGCTATCTCTCTACATGTGACAAAACTCTCTTCTGGAGGAACCCAGGAGTGGGGAAGGGCGTGATGTACACCCATGTCTCATCTTTACATAAAGTTTGGATGTGGTAAAAAAAATTAGTACCTGGACATGGGATGAGGAAGTGCTCTTCACAGTGCAAAATGCATCCAGCCCACTCCAGTGGTCTGGCACTTATGGGTCCCTTCCAACTCAGGGCATCCTATGATTCTGTGAGTCAGTGAGGGCATTGGCTGCACTGCATCACTGGCATAGAGACATGCAATTCCCTTCATTTTCTCTACTGATAGCTATCACTCAGCAGCTGAGTCTGTTCTTTAGTTACAACTTACAAGTTGTAAGTTTTTATGTGCTCACTTCTTAAAATCATCTGAAGTTTAAACCTGAAGGAACTCTATGGTCCCTGTCTAGAATTAGGGCTCCTCAGGACTAGGTCAGAGCAGGAGATCCACAGTGTGTTGTAGTGACACTAATACCACCTAGAAGGTGGTAAAGACAGAAGGCAGAACTGAAGTTTGAATTTCTGAGTTACTGTTTAGAATTTTTACCAGAACAATGTAAGCAAGTATACTGCTGAATGCTCACCACAGCTGCTCACCCTTGTGCCCTCTCAACTTTACTCTGGCAAAAATTACTGCATATAACACTTCAAAGGAGGGTCCAGATAATGTATTTGCTCCTCTCTTATCTTCTTTATTTTTTCACAGTTTGCAATAAATGCTTGTGCAATATATTCTTCCTATTATATAGAGCATTCCTATATGAAGAATTAATTTGAAAGTTGTGGTAGCAGCACTGTTAGGGTATGAGCAGAAAACTGGCTCCATGAAACATTTTAGACTGCAATTGTCAACCAGAAGGTATCAGTGGTTTCACAGGTCTCAAAATATGTTTGAATACAGCCATAGGTAGATTATTCATGGGAATAGAAAAATAGATAAATGTGTAATTCTTTTAGAAGGACTTCCCTCCTTCCTTCCCACCAACACTTGCTGCGCAGTTGATAAAGCTGTCTAGAAGCAGTCAATGCTCAGAGCATTCATGTGTAGTTCACAAATGTTACATCCTTGTGAAAATACAGTAAGACAAATATGTAGAAAATAATAACTCCTGGTTCGATCTACATCTGACTTTAGGGTTGTGAGATTTGCTCTGCCTTTTTTAGTCCAGACTTGCTTGTCTTTCGCTCTGTTGCTGGCCAGTCCTATAAGCTGAGCTCTTCACAATAACCTAGAGCAGGAATTTATCCTGTTCCTTTGTGTTTCATGAGGGGGCTCATCTAGCCACATGCTTCTCCAACTCTGACATCTTTGGGTAGAATTGAAAAAATTCAAAAGACTTGCATTAAATGATATACATGTAACTTTGCTGTCCTGTGGTATCATTCTCCCCTGTGACATTTACAGTTTTAAAATGAAATAGTCACTTGCTAACACTCCTGATCCTTTTGGTTCTTTGCATCACTTGTTTGCATCATCAAACAGGCAGAAAAACAATACATGTAACATGTCAAGGCGGGACACGTTTCCTAGATGAAGGGAAAAGAAATGCTATTTCACAGAGAGAGCACATGCACAGACTAAATTAGAATAATTCAGCATTTTCTCTACTGTTTCACCTAACTTGGGCACAACTTGTATTATGTGTTCATGGAGGTAGACTGGACAGTGCCCAGGAACATGTCAGTAGCAAAATCAGGTAACTTACGACTTTCATTTGTCACTTTGGACATTATGCATTTGCCTTTCCAGTGTTCCTGAGCAGTGCTGCAATGGCCATGAAATGCTTAGCAACTGGCTCTAGCTCCTTAAAATTTCTCTATAGTAAGAATCACACTTGTATTCAATTTAAATACTGTTCAGTGTAACAGGAGCATTTATTTGTTATATATATTTCTTAGCTATGAAATATAAAGGTTCCATCAGTCTGACTCCATCTGCCAATCAAGGTAAATAGGCACAATTTTTTATATAAATAAAACTTTTCTGATTGCATCCTGGGGTACTTCCAATGCTTCTGTGTTCCTGTATTTTTATTCCTGTGATTCATTGGGCAAACTATAATTTATTGCCCCACTTCCTCATATTTCTTTCACAACAAATTACTGCCAAATAGCACTGTCCTACATCCTTAATCTTCCCTGCCACATGATTTCTGGTCATGCCCATATCTCTGCTCTCTGTCTTTACTCTTAAGCTGGTGCAATTTTCTGAGAGGAATGAAGAATATGATGGCAAAGACAGGCAGGTGCTTCACCAGGCAGATAGATGCATAAATTTCTAAAGGTTGTTTCTAGAAAAATTGCTAGTGCAGTCCTGGAGGATGCCAGCCTCACTCCCAGAGGCAGACAGACGGCACAGAGCTTCAGCAGCATTTTCTCTCAGTTTTCTCTCTTTAGTCTTCTCTATTACAGCATTCAGTAGCAGTTACTGGTGCGAAGGGACAAGAAAAGTTGCCAAACCTTTCTGTACCGGAGAGAGCAAAGGGGGTCTTTGCATCCGCTTCAACAGCCCTGATGCCAACAGCAGCCAAGCCGTGCAGTATATCTGGGAGACAGGAGATGACAAGTTTGTTGAGCGAAAGTTTCATGCTGGGATTTGGTATTCCTGTGAAGAAATGATAAATGAAGAAGGTGAGTAAAACCATGTAAATTTACTCAAGAAAACAATCCATTATTCCTGCTTTTTTGGTGTCCTCTTCTGATCTGCTGCATTATCATGGATGTATTTTATTGTGCTCATATCCTTAAAAAGTTGCTCTTCTCTGGAAAAGGGGACCTTAGAGGGTACTATCTAGTCAAGATTTCATAATAAGTTCTGCAAAGAACATTAGAGTGACAGATTGTGTTTCTCGTTTAGTGATAGGTTGTGGTACAGATCAAGATTTGTTTATTTTTTATCATTCTAACCATAACAGCAAGTTAAATTGCTATAACAGGGAAGTGTTTCATTTTCCCTTAGTCAAAAATGAACACACTTGCCCTAAAGAATTGCTTCTGATCCTCTATGGCAACATAAAAAGCACAAACTGACTTTTTTTGTTTTAAAAATCATTTGCACTATTGAATCTGTGGGATCTAAGTTAGTTTCTGGGTTTCCTCTTGACCACAACTACTTCTGCTTTCTTACTGTGATCTCACCTTTCATAAATCAAAGCAGAAGAAGATACTTTTCACCCTGATAAAACCTGATTTAATAACTGTAAAAAATGGTAGCATGTAACTGAATTTCACTCTGCATATGTAAATACCTGTAGAATGAAATTAGCTTGTAATTATACAAACTTTCCAGTTAATTTTGGATATTTGTATAAGGGAATTGTTGGTTCAAGAATTCAAGCATTTATTCTAAATCCAGATCAACACTAAGTTGTTCCCTTGTTGTCCTGATCAGTGTACAAATTACAACTAGAACAGAACTTCAGAGAAATCAAATCAGCTATCACCTGTGCTATAAAATGCAAATATTTTCACAGTCACCTGTCCTGAAGATCCAGTTCTGCCAGAAGGTCTTGTAAGTTATGCAATCTTAAGGGGGTAAATGTCAAAGATCAGAGCAAACTGCATGTCCAAAAGATACCTTTCAAGTGGTGATTGCTATGAATATCAAGGTTGCGTAATTTGTGCATCTGCTATGGCCAGTTCATATTTTCCAACTTGG